CAGGAAACAATAGAAACGACAAAAATAAAATGAAGACATTGTACCGCTGTGCCACTGCGTGTGTGTGTGTGGGGGGGGGGGCGTTTAAACAGAACATTGGTCTGTATTCTTCGGGTATAATACCCGAAGAAGACAAACGTGTAATATGTTCTCCCCTAAAAATAAATCACTCTTGTAAATTATGGTTTGTCAACTTATTAACTTTATGATGTGAGATTTCGATTGAAACTGTTTTTATTTTTAGTGACAAAAAAAAAAAATGTTAGATTAATCTTTATACTCTGTGAAACTGTAGGAGCGGGAATAAACTGTTATTCCGGACCTTGTCGTTTTAGTTGTAACTCATTTTTCGACATTATTGAAAACTTCCGTGCCTAAGTAATATAACTGGTTTATTTGGTAATAAAACGTCTGTTTCTTGATTAGTTTATTCCGAAATTAAATAATTACCGAATCGAAGGATAATAATGTGACTGTCATTTCTTACATTTACCCAGAATTCCACTCGAAGAACATATGACAAAACTTTCTATTATCAGATCGCATACTATTATTATTTTAACTCTCTCCCCGGAGGGCTTATAACGTTAAAAATCGGGTTTCGATACTCGTGGTGGTGGCCACACAACACAAATAGTGTGGCTTGGCGTTTAACAAAGACAAAACATTATTGTTAACAAGCATTTTATACATTTTTTGTTGTTGTTTTTTAAAAGAAGAATGGCTTATATCGCAATGAAAAAAGTGAAAACTTTTTAAAGTGTGGGCTTCTGAAGGTGTCAGTTTAGTTTGTATCAATTTAAATATACGAATGGTCTATACGCATGAATCTCAGGTAAAACAACCAACTATGTAAATGGGGTATGGTGAGAGTGAATTATCTAACAAGTCTCGACTTGTTTCTACGTGATTATCTGACAAGTCTCGACTTGTTTCTACTTGATTATCTGACAAGTCTCTACTTGTTTCTACTTGATTATCTGACAAGTCTCGACTTGTTTCTACTTGATTATCTGACAAGTCTCGACTTGTTTCTACTTGATTATCTGACAAGTCTTCACTTGTTTCTACTTGATTATCTGACAAGTCTCTACTTGTTTCTACTTAATTATCTGACAAGTCCCGACTTGTTTCTACTTAATTATCTGACAAGTCTCGACTTGTTTCTACTTGATTATCTGACAAGTCTCCACTTGTTTCTACTTGATTATCTGACAAGTCTCGACTTGTTTCTACTTGATTATCTGACAAGTCTCCACTTGTTTCTACTTGATTATCTGACAAGTCTCCATATGTTTCTACTTGATTATCTGACAAGTTTCTACTTGTTTGTTAGTCTAAAGTTGTGTGCATTTCAAGTTCCGAAATCCTTGTTTTTAGGTCAACAAGGAGAGAGAGAGAGAATTTCAAGCGAGGTTCAATTTGAAACAAACGTATAAATGCGGTTGACAAATTCCGCTTATTGTCACCATGCGCTTGTTTCTGGGTGCTCGTGTAGCCAAGCAACAGACAAATTCCACTTATTGTCACCACGCGCTTGTTTCTGGGTGCTCGTGTAGCCAAGCAACAGACAAATTCCACTTATTGTCACCACGCGCTTGTTTCTAGGTGCTCATGTAGCCAAGCAACAACAAATTTTCCAGAAGCGTTATTTTTTTTAGAGAAAAGTAAAAACATTTAGCGACTTTAAGTGAGATTACCTTTCGTATAGTGGCCACTGAATGTGTGTTCTGATAGTTCTTTATATGATAAATGACTGTAGTGTAGACTTTAAGATTGATAACTGTGGGTTGCAAACTTTGTCACTCTGGGGGGACACTCGTAGTCGTGTTGCCCAAGACCCAGAGGAAAAAGAGGAGGAAGTCTAAGTTTCTATACCAATTGACGTGACTACGCACCTCTGGAGCTATTTAGGGACGGTCTCTTACTTGACTGTCCTGTTAATTTGGAACGGCTACGATCCTCTACATTATAAACCAAGAAGTTGGACTATGCTAAATCAAAGCGTGGAAAACCATTCTTCCAAAAGGTGGCGTTTCGTAAGTATTGATTGGCACCAAGTTTTCTCACCACAATGATTCTCTTTTAAATTCATTTAAAAAATTCCTATTCGACATATATTTGTGTAACCTAGCAACAACCACTCCACCCCTTGTCACCATGCTCTCGATCTACATGTAATAATGTAAACAAACAACCGAAGCTCCCCATGAACTCGTGTAACTAAGCGACAGACATAATTCCTTATTTTCACCATGCACTTGCTCCCCACGTGCTCGTGTCATCATGCACTCGCTCCCTGTGAACTCGTATAACCAAGCGACAGACAGATTCCACTTACTGTTACCGTACCGTGTCTGTGAGCTTTCACTACTTTAGCAAGTCAAATAACCGAACTTTTCAAAAAGTTGACAACGACTTTTAGTGAGACTTTAACACACCTGTTATCAACAACGACCCTAAGTAAGATTTTAACACACCTGTTATCAACAACGACCCCAAGTAAGATTTTAACACACCTGTTATCAACAACGACCCTAAGTAAGATTTTAACACACCTGTTAT